TGAAATTATTGCTATGTAGTTTATTTATACACAGCTCGTGAATAAAGCGTTCAAACTTTCCTTACTTGTATAAAATCCGAACAGAATAAAATGCATTTTCTCAGAACGTTATTACCAAGTTGAGGAGAAACTAGGCGCAGACAGGAAAAGTCCCGGCTTGTAGTGCAAGCGTTCAGTGAAACGTTTCATATGTAAATGGCGGTAATCTGTAGAAATCGGCAGCAGTAGCAGGCATCGATCGCCGATTGTGCCTCACTCGAAAACTTTGTGTATGCAATACGAGCACTCATAGCAACAACTTTGTCTCGTATTTTATCGCCTGACACAATTCAAGATGTGCTTAGAATACGGAATACGTTATGGTTATATTGATTTCTTGGATGTGAAGAGATTTTTAGATAGAGCCAACAGCTGACATCTAAGTTTTGTGGTTTTGTTAGTAATGGTAGTCTTACCGACCCGGTTTTTTTATTTATACTTGCTAATTTTGACTACCGGTTTCTTCAATAATGGAAAATATGATATTTTGCAAAATATACGATTTGATTGTAATCGTCAGGACGGCAGGTTTCTAGTCGTATTCGTATTCATTCTTGATCTCACTTAAAATTGTGGCCAAGAAGTGCTTCGCGTCTGCTTCTATTTGCTTGCTATCATGGGGTATTTGCTTCTTCATAAAACACAATGTGAGTCATCTTCAAACATAATGTGAGTCATCTTGATGTAGAGTAGCACTGTTTATAGCTATTAAAGGGATTGTTACCATGTCCCTTGTTTTTTACGAGTCTCCGATATTTCAGCACTGTTGCAAGCGCCATGATCACGGTGCCAGTTATTCCGTGTATTGTCTTATGTCTTCGTTTAGGCTTTTCTCAAAAAAATACAAAATGCCTATTTATCCACACAATTAGTAAATGTATGTACCTAAATATGTATTATAACACATAATTTTCGAAGGTAGCTCGACAAATTAAACAAAAGTTTTATTCTGACGACGAAGCCTGGAAAGGCTACGAAACGTCATAAATAAATAAAGTTTCGTGCATTATCCCGTTTAAACTAGTTTTATTTATGAGACTAAGATATTATACTGTATTTGTGTATATAATAATCTTAAAGCCGTACATTCACATGACAATGCAGCCACTGCCAATTTTAGATAGTCGACTAATAATAGTAAATGAATTTTATATTTACTTCTAAACTACTAAAAAGAACATAAGCAAAATATGAATTTTTGAATAAGTAATTACATAGTTAACTATAAAATTTACATGCATTAGATATACAGGTTGTTTCTTCTAGGGCGTCAAGCCAGTGCTAGCTGATAGCGGAGTACTATACCTATCAATTTAACCCCCATGTATGTTCTACAATTTTTCGTAGTTTTCGAGTTAGATTTTTTTTTAGTTATTTTTTAAGTTCAACGATGTGACAACATTAAAAAAGTGTAACTTATTTTTGGGGAAATTTTTCTTCGATTTTTTTTGACAGATACCTATTGCTTGTAGTTTTATATGTAAAATAATTTCTTTGCTAACTGTAACCTAAGATATATTTTTTTTATCGATACAAAATAAAAATGAAATAAGTAAAATTGAAATAAAAAAATGAAAATAGGTGTTCTATAACTTCTGACTAATTTTAAAAACTGCCCGACTACATAAGCTTTCATTAAAATATAAAGAAGATGTACTAAATGGCGCATTATTTGCTGAAATCTATTGTTGAAGGTGTTGTATCGGAAATTGAGTAATTTTAATATTTTATAATTTCGTAGTATCTTTGAATATTTTGTCAATCTTAAATTTTATTATCCCTTTTAGTTCAAGTGGAGCTTATTCGAAAATAAAAAATAATTATTTTATGATAACTAATCCCTCGAAACTCCTATTAACCTCCTCTTCAGGTATTTTTATTTTACGCTTAAATAAGGAAGTGTCTACGCGTACGTTGAGGACTCGCGATTGAGCTTGATATTGTTTGTGAGTGATATCATGCCTCGAGATTACGAATTTTTATTGCAAGATTATGCGCAAATGCATTATTTCTTCGGGTACGCGCGTCGAAACGCTTCACTTGCCGCAAGGATGTTTCGCGATTATTTACAACGCAGCGGAGGACGACAGCCCGAGATTTATTCAGATCATCGAGCAATTTTGCGAGTACATCGAGCGTACGAGGAAGACCGCAACCCGACGAATACAAACAGATCAAGAAAGTTAAGAACGGATCCTGATCGTGTCGATATTGTTTTAAAAGAAGTGGCACGCGATCCGTTAAGCGCACCACCAGTCAGCGCACAGGAATACACATATGGGATTCTGTACACAGATTTATGATTTGAAAGAATACATCCGTATCATATAAACAACCATAATATCAAGCTTAACGCGAGTCCTCAACGTACGCGTAGACACTTCCTTATTTTAGTGTAAAATAAAAATACCTGAGGAGGATAACAGGAGTTTTCAGGGATTAGTTATCATAAAATGATGATGTTTTTTTTTTCGATTGAGCTCCACTTAAACTAAAAGGGAATTATAAAATATTATAATGACTCGATTTCCGATACAACACCTTCAACAACAGATGTCAGTAAATAATGCCCCATTTAGTATATCCTTTTTTGTATTTTAATGAAAGTTTATACTACATAAGTTTTTAGCAGCTTTTAAAATTAGTCAGAAGTTATGGAATATCTATTTTCATTGTTTTTATTTCAATTGAAAATCCTTTTTGTTTTAGTTAATTCATTTTTATTTAGTATCGATCGAATTTTTTATATCTTAGGTTAAAGTTAGGAAGAAAATTAGTTTACTTATAAAACTACAAGCAATAGGCATAGTTAAAAAAAAATATCGAACAAAAAGCGACCCAAAAAAAAGTTGTACTTTTTTAAAAGTTGTCACATTTTTGAACTTAAAAAATAACGAAGAAAAATTCTAACTCGAAAACAACGAAAAATCTATCTAAATAAAGATCATAGATGGGGGTTTAATTGATAGGTATGGTACTCCGCTATAGCTTGCACTGGCTTGACACCCTAGAAGAAACACCCTGTATAATGCGTAAAAAATCGCATGTTCATGACAAGCTATCACAGTTCATAGGGGAAACAAAGACACCAGATGTTAAAATTAAAGAATTTTTAAACAACAGCGGGGGGGGGGGGAGTTTTATAATCATAGAGTATGTGCTACACTAGCAAAGGGAGGCATCAAGCAGATATCTTACATCCCTCAGTAAAATCTCACAGAACGTGAGAGTAGGACGGTGTTTGAGGTTATGAAAATTCCGACAGGCTTGTGGGCTGAAATGGCTGTAACGAGTGTTTATATTCTGAAAAGGACTGTACCAGGACGATGGCACGGGAAAAAACCAAAGATAAGTCACATGCAAATTATTGGAACGGTTTGTTATCCGCACATTTCTAAGAAAAGAGGAAAAATTTAGACAAGAAAGATCAAAAAAGCATCTTAGTTGGGTATGATTCTGGCGAAGGGTATATTTGGAATAGCGCGAATTTTGAACAGACCCTTACTGGAAGATGACAGAAGTCTCGTAAGGTTTACCTTGATCCTCAGTCTTAGGCTGAAAATGCAGCTCTAGACATCTGTCTGCAATTTCTCAGAAGATAAAAAAAACTTGATTTTCACGGTTTGGATTTCCATTATGGACAGAAAAGTTCAAAACAAAACACAAACGAACCACCAGCAATTGGAAACAGCGCTACCAGTGGTGTACCTGAAACAGAAAATTAACAAATTACTTACAATAGAGTTGGTGAACATTTTGTTGACAGTTATACGGACCAATCAGAGGAACAGATAGAGCAGCAACATGATGAACCTGAAAGAGATGATAAAGTCAACTCAGATACTTAACCTGTTCAGAATGACACTATTGGGGCAGAGAACAAAATTAGGGTGACACTTCGTAATCGCGCCACCCCTAGACGTCCGGTTGGATATGGATATTATGTATGAAATATCTGTCAGGTTCGAGCAAACACTAAAGAACTGATAGAGCCGACATATAAGCAAATCCTACAAAGTTCTGTCTGATAAATGGATCCAAGCTACCGAAAGTGAAATAAACTCACTAAAAGATAACCAAACATGGAAGATTTGCCCAAGGGAAGGAAGGCCATCCCATGTCAATGAGTTTTTAAAATCAAAACCAATCCTGACAGAATAGTGAACATATATATGGCTCGGCTAGAAGAAAATAGTTACTCACATATTATTATGGAGGAAGTAGAATATTATAATACACTAGCTGACCCAGCGAACTTCGTACCGCCCTAAAAAATAGTGGTTGTCCAGCGGACAAAATTGTGAATCTAAACCATTCTCAGATCCCCTTGAACACACACAAAAAATTTCATCAAAATCGGTCCAGTCGTTTAAGAGAAGTTCAGTGACATACACACTCACAGAAGAATTATATATATAAAGATTTAGTCCTGTCGCAAAGACAAACCACATTAGAGCAATTCTCAGTATTGCAGTATAAAAAAGTTGACCTTGTCACAGTTTGACGTTTTAACAGTGTTTTGTTTGGGACCTTAAACGAAGAGACGGAAGAGCTTTTACGATCTAAAGCAGGCGCCGAGATGCTGAAATTACTGTATAACCGAAGACATACTGAAGATAGGATTTAAACAGATCGATCCTTATCTTTTTATAAGAAAGAAAAACAATAACAAGCTGATTTTAGCGATATGTGTCGATGACGGACTTTTAGCGTCGGTATCTGAGGCTGAGACCCAATTTTTTTGATGAGTTTCGTCAGCGATTCAAGATAACCACGAAACCTGGATCTTATTTCTTATTAATAGAGGTCAACGGAAAAAAAACGATGGATATATTTTCATTGACCAAAAAGCATACGCCAAGAGTCTATTAGAACGGTTTGGAACTCTGTAAGCCTGTTGTAACTCTAATAATAAAAGGCTCGTTCACAGCAGAAAATGAAACAGAAAGAACACCGTCCCCTTATAGACAGGCAGTTTGTGCACTGTCTTATCTAGTAGTTGGCAAGCACCCTCATATTATAGCGTAAAGGGTGAGCGTCGTCTTAAAAATTTTGGACAACCTATCACCAGAAGATGCTATCCTTGTAAACATTAGCTCCGTCGAAATTAATTCATAAAAATTAAAAAACCCCGTTTTTATTAAAAGTTTAGCAAAAGTAGTTTAATTCTTATCACAACTGTGCTCAGTAATTGTACACAACGTTTTCCGTATATCAATTGTCAAGAAAAAGTGCAGTTTAATGTGTGATAACTATGAAGAAGAAATAGGATAAAAATTATACTAACAGTGCATAAAACAGTGAGTACTATTGACAAAAGTATTAAACACATCAAGATAGTGATCAATAATAAGCTAACATAACGTAAATCTGTGTTATTGTGCGATAGTGAGTGTGCGTTTTTTATTCAATTTGAGTCAGTGCTTAAAGCTACGTTCATTCTGTGTGATGAGATTGGTTGACAATACAACACTGATACCCAATCAAGTCAGCTACCACTTATACTCAAATATTGGTATCTAAAATTTGTCGTCTGCGTAGCGCTTGAGATGGCGTCGACGTTAAATCATACACCGTTAAGTCTTCGAGGCACCAAGTTCGAGACCACGAAGGAAGATTTAATTTTAATTTTATTTTTTCCACAAATATATTTTTTTTTCTCATCTCATAATGGAAAATAAATTAAAAAACCCTCGAAAGTTATTCAAATATCATCGGTGACTTGTTTTAAATGTAAATCAACAAGAGCTAAAAGAGATGCTGTTTTTTGTTCGAGCTGCCATAAAAATTTTGACTTTGATTGCTTGGGTTTATCAGAAAAGCTCTACATGTTGATGAAACCAGATAAAAGGAAAACAATAATGTGTGACCCGTGTACATTGCTCTCAAAATTTATTAAAATCCCACCTAAGTTATCCAATATACCTGAGACAAGATATGTTGCAAACAAGAGAAGAATAGTTTCTCCTTCAGAAAAAACTATTAATACCCCAACAACATCCATAAAGTTTCTATCCCCTTGCAGTGAATCCATCGAGGGCGATACATTTTCTTCAAACGAAGAGGAGATATTTGATAGATCATCGGAAGAAATATTATCTAGAAGTGAGGATTTTACAACTCAAGCTGGCGACTTAAATTATACAAAAGAACTAGAAGAGAAACTCACCGAAATTAGTGCTAACTTACTAAGTACAGAAAATGAACTCGAAAATACCATAATAGAAAATAATGAGCTAAAAAGACAGATTATTAGATTGAATAAGGAAATTAATTTGCTAAAAAATGTTTGCCTGTCGCCACCTTCCGCTAAGAAAAATAAAAAGAAAAGTTGTCTGGATGCTTATGATATTTGCCCGGGTTCCATGTTACCCCCTAAGGAAGCCGAAAGAAGTATAAATTCAACTAATAAATTAATGCCAAATAACGAAAATCAACCTAAGAAGATAGCCCCAGAATCACATACAAATACTATTTACAGAAAAAACAAGTTACTTTTATTAAGCAATAGCAGGAAAAGAGGTATTTTAAACCTAATAGAAAATATTGACATCCCTACCCGTTTCAACTTTTTTCATCACTCAAGCCCCGGTATATACAAATTGTTAGAAAATATAGAACAAAAAACATGTAACTTTACGACTGCAGATTATGTGGTAATATTAATTGGTGAAACGGATTTTGAAAAGTCAAACAATTACTTGAACCTGGTTTCATATATTCGAAATAAGCTATCTAAGATAAAAAATACAAATGTCATACCATGTTCACCAACTTATATCTGTGGATCTATGTTGTTTAACGGTAGGGTTGAGACTTTCAATGTGTTGCTATGGTTTGATGTAAGTAATCATAATTATGCTTGTTTTGTAGACTCTAACTGTTATTTGAATTTTGACATGTTTTCATCATATACTGGCAAACTTAACAAGAGTAGTCTTAAATGTAATGATGTGTTAAATTACATAAAAATAGTTCCTCCGGAAAATGTAACGAGCCTGGTTAAATCGGACAAAACGTTTTTTCTCTAAGAAATTTATAGTTTTAAGTCAGAATATACAGAGCTTAAGGCATAAACAACATTTGATGGACGCATACTTAGATAATAAACCACATATTGGTGCTTTGTGTTTAACAGAAACTTGGCTAAGAGCTGAAAATTTGGACATTTTGCAAATAAATGGTTTCATATTAGCCTCATATTTTTGTCGTTAAAATTATAAAGGTTAAAGTGTGTGTATAATGTTAAGAGACGCCATAGAATTTAGCGAACAGAGGGATATTACAAGTATGTCTATAGAATATGTATTTGAAATATGCGCTGTTAAAACCACAAGCTTGAAAAATTTACTTCTAGTTGTTATATATTGGCCAAATAGCAATATAGAGCCTAATATATTTTTCAATTGCTTGGAAATGCTAATGGATTTGCTAAAGACTAAATATAATACTAACGACATTATTATTGTAGGAGACTTTAATTTGGATGTTTTAACAAAAGGAACTAAATCAAAAGCTCTTATGGAACTAATGCTTTCATACAATTTTGATCTAATAAACAAGGAACCAACACGTGTTACTAAAAATAGTTCTACTTGTGTCGACTTGGTTTTCACTAATTTCCGACATAAACAAGTGATCGTGTCAGTCCAAGAGAATGTATTTTCTGATCACAAATCTGTCCTTATATCTCTAAATGAGACCTCAACAAAATCTTTTAATACATGGTGGACCTATAAAAGGATCTTTAGCAAAAAAATATATATATAATTTTAAATCGGAACTAAAAAATATTAAGTGGGATGAGATAATAAAAGAGAGCCATAGCGTGAATCAAAATTACAATTCTTTTCATACAACGTTAAAAAGTATATTAGATAGAGTTATACCTAGAAAACAAATAAAAATAAAAGGAAGATCCTTTAAAGGCTGGCTTACCAGTGGAATAAAACGTTCGTTTAGACATAAGCGTCATTTAAAATTACTTTTATCATAAACTGCTAACCCCATACTTCAATCTCACTATAAAATTTATGAAAAAATATTAAAAAAGTAGTCATGACTTCTAAAAAACTACAATATGTAAGCCGAATGAAAAACACTACAAATAAAACGAAAACAATGTGGACGATCATAAAGGAAAGAACAAACAAGCAGCCTAATAGACATCTACAAAATATCAAACTTAAAATTAATAATACTATCTGTGACGATGCACTCAAAATAGCAAATAATTTTAATGACTTTTTCTCATCAGTAGGTAAGGTGACTGGAGCAAACCTTACACAAGGCAGACCTGTCCTAAATCCGACCGACAGCTCGTTATTTCTATGGCCCGTTGATTATCTAGAAGTAAGACTTATGATAAGAAACTTAAAAAATAAGCGTAGTTTTGGTATTGATGAATTGCCTCCAATACTAATTAGAGAGTGCGTTGACGAACTGACACTTCCATTCACACTTTTAATTAATCAATCATTTCAAGAAGGATCTTTTCCAGATAAACTTAAAATTGTAGTAGTTAAGCCAATTCACAAAAAAGGAGACAAAACCGACATAAATAATTATCGCCCTATTGCACAGTTATGCACCTCATCTAAAATCATAGAAACTGCTATGTGTCGAAGGTTGAACAGTTTCTGTGAGAAGTTTCAAATATTCGATGAGAGTCAGTTTGGATTTAGGAAGAAAAGATCAACTACCATGGCTGTGTATCATTATATACAGAAAGCACTTGAAATTATAAATAATAAACAATGTGCAATCGGTATTTTGCTCGATCTAAGCAAAACATACGAACGAGTATCATTCAAAATCATACTTTCGAAACTTTATGGCATTGGTGTGAGAGGAATCGCCCACAATTGGTTTGCATCGTACTTGAGTGGTCGGCAACAGTGTGTGGAGGTTGACAAGTATGATCCAATAACGGGAGGTATTACAAACTGCAGATCAGAGAAATGTGAAATGCCAAACTCCATACCACAAGGCACCGTACTGGGCTGTGTTCTTTTCCTGGTGATTGTGAACGATTTTCCAAAAGTGATACAGAATCATTGTGTAGCCTTTACTGATGATGTGTCTGTATTATTTCCATGCGCTCCACTTTCCTCAGTGAACACTAAGCTCTCCTAAATATTCGAAAACATCATGGAATGGTTAAGCGATCATAGTTTGGAAATAAATTTAAAAAAAAAACCAAGTTAATGCAATTCAGACCACGACAAAAGAATCCAATAGAAATTAAATTATCCATGGGCCAAACAATTATTGAATGTGTCCATAATTTCACACTGCTCGGCTTAGAAATAGATACCAACATTACATGGAAGGCCCACATTGAAAAAATAAAAAATAAATTGTCACGCTTTATATACGCCTTGTCTGAAATAAAACGTAGCACAGACTTACAAACCGCTGTTGCAGCATATTACACCTATGCTTATTCTTGGCTACATTACGGTGTGATATTATGGGGGAATAGCACTGCTGTCCAAGGTTTGTTCGTGATACAAAAGAAATGCATAAGAATACTAGTCAACATTGAACAAACTGAAAGCTGAAGACCACATTTTAAAGAGCTTAAAATTCTAACCTTAACAAGTTTATATATTTTCGAACTCTGTAAATTTGTAAAACAAAACCCAAGCTATTTTAAGACTAACGAACAAATGCGGGGAAATACACTAAATATACGTTTTAAAGATAACCTCCACTTACCAACCAGTAGATTAAAAATGTTTAGCAGTAGTACATTTGTCATGTGCATTAAAATATATAATAAAATTCCACAACACTTGAAGTCGGAGGTTGATGATAAATCATTTCTAAGAGCTTTAAAAGATTATTTAATAGGTAAAGCATTTTATAGTTTAGAAGAGTTTTTAAAGTAACAAAATGACATTATTATACTAAATTGACATTGTAAAATACTTTATTGACATTTTATTTTAATGAGCGCCTATTAATAAATTGAATGATATTTATTTCAATTAGTACCCAATTGTAATTAAGCCACGTTGACATGTTAATAATATTATTTGATTTAAATGTATTTTAAAGTAAATTATTGTATTATATTGTAGTGCCCCAACGGGGTTCCATGTTTGTACCTAATGTATTTATATTTTAAGACATTTTAAACCATGGAGACAATAAAGAATTGAATTGAATTGAGATGTATAATAATAATAAGCCTCTTATCCTGAACTACTTTCTTCTTTCTTTGTACTGTGTTTGTCTCTTCAGTTATAATATATCCCTGAGTTCAGTGTGCCTCTTAGCAAAGGCCTCCTCTAACAGTTTCCATTGCACTCTGTCTCTAGCAACCCTTCTCCATTTTGGGCCTGCCGTCAGTTTTAGTTCGTCCTCCCACCTCTTGCTTTGTCTTCCTCTGTTCCTTCTCCCATCTCTAGGGTACCAGTACCAGTACCAGGGATTTGTCCCAAATAAATATATTCCTCTACATATTCAACAGGTTGGTTGTTGATTTTTATTTCATATTTGTTTGAATTCGTTAATAGCTTCGTTTTGTTTATATTCATAGTTAAGCCCACTTTCTCGCTCTCTTTATTTAGATCTTGTATCATTTTTTCTAGGATCCCTGGTTGTTCTTCAAACAAAATAATATCGTCAGCGAATCTAAGATGGTTTAATTTTTGACCGTCTATATTTAATCCATGTTGGTCCCAGATCAGCTTTCGAAATGTTTTCCAGTACCGCCGAAAACAGCTTTGGGGACATCGGGTCGCCCTGTCTGACGCCTCTTTTTACTTGGAATGTTTCGCCCAAGGTTTCCAGTTGTACTCTTGCCTTACTGTTTGAGTAAATGTTTCTAATGGTGTTTATGTACACTGTCGGGATTCCCTGGTTTCGTAAGCTTTCCCATATGGCTGTGTGGCTAATGCTGTCAAATGCCTTAGTATAATCGATAAAGGCCATATATAGCGGTTTATTGTATTCGTTGTATTTTTCCATAATTTGCTTGACTGTGTGAATGTGATCTATCGTGGAGAAGATTTTCCTAAAGCTAGCTTGTTCCTTCGGTTGGTTTTCGTCAAGTGTATTGCTTATTCGGTCTAAAACATTTAACTTTGGAGAAAATTTTACATATGTTAGACATCAGACCTATTGGTTTGTAGTTCCCTATGTCGTCCTTTTGTCCTTTTTTATGTATGAAAATGATGTGGGATGTCTCCCATTGTTCTGGAACCTGTCGTGTTCTCATGATGCCGTTGAAAATTTTAGTTAAAATGGGGACCAGTTCTTCTACGGTTCCTCTCAGTAGCTCGTTTGTGATTTTATCAGGACCTAATGTTTTGTCTAACTTTTGGCTTAGTATGGCTTTCCTAGTTTCACTGGCTAATATGTCAGGTTCTGGGTTCACTAAGAGCGGAATATAATTTAGGGTTTCTCGACTTACATATGTAGTGGTTTCTTGGTTGGAATATAGATTGCGGTAGAATTTTGTAGCTATTTTATTGATGTTCTTTCGGCCTGTTACGTTTTTTTGGTTGTTTTTCAATTTCGGGATCCATTGGTTTGATTTCGGAGTTCTTTTAGAGCTTTTCTAGTTCCTCCTGTCCTCGCTATATGTTTTTCTAGGGTTTGCAACCTTTTGGCCTTCTTATCCTTTTTGATGCCTTCTTTGATTTTTTTACTTAAGTCAGTTATTTTCTGAATGTTTTGTTTCCTTATTTTGCAGTCAAGTAAACTTTTTCTATCTTTTATAAGTTGTAGTGTTGAATTAATTAGGTTGTATTTTTGTTGTGTCCTTTTTTGGTCACTTCGATATGTAATTTTGTTTTGTAGTTTGTTGTAGCTTGTTTTTACATCAATTGCATCGGTTTCTAATAGTCCTCTGCTGAGTATTGACAAGGAATTCTCCATTGTTTTGTTAAGTTCTGTGCTGCGTGTCGGGAGTGTGTCATATTTAGCAAACTTTCTGGATTTTCTGAGTGAAATAGTCTTGAGTGCCACCCTTACCATAGGGTGGTCGGTATTAATTTTATATAACTGCTGTGTTTGTAAATAAATTTGGGTGGCTGCTTATAATATAATATATTTCGTTTCTATGGTTCCCGCCTGGAGAGATCTAGGTCCACTTGTTGTTTTTGTTTTTCTTAAAAATACTATTTAGGAGGGTAAGATTGTGTTCTAGTAAGAATTCAACCAGTCTCTGCCCATTTTTGCTTCTTTTGCCGTAGCCAAATTTACCTATAACATATTCTTCTTTACATTGTTTTATTCCCACTTGCGTATTAAAATCTCCCATTAGTATACTTATGTTTTTTGAGTAATTATTTATAATAGCTTGGGATAGGTCGTTGTAAAAAGATTCATGTTTAGGTTCATGTGCTTGCTCCGTAGGAGCATAGGCTTGGATAATAGGCTTGTGTCAACTAACAATAAATCGAATGGGTTACAGTTTCTAAATATGAATTATGATATACAGATAACAAAAAATAAAGCTATTTATCATAATAATTAAAGATTATTATTATTTTTAGAAAATAAATTCGAATAAAATAGGCATTAGATCACGTGACGGCAAACACCAATCAGAAAGACTGACGTCACCACGTGCAAAACATTACTTGTGGTTGCCGTCTCCATACATTTCATTGATATCTCATTCATGTTATTGTTACTTTGATACAATTATCAGTTGTTTTCAGATAAGTATTGAAAGGAAGCCTAATAAATCCATGGAATTGGGATTTACCGAAGCAAATAATAATATTTTAACCAAAATAAAAAATTAATCACATAACTACTCGACATAATTAAGCATATCATTTGGCAACTAGAACAAGAATAAGAAGTGTTTATTATTATGAATAAATATACTGAACTCTCAAATAGACTCTAAATCATACCATAAAATTAAATCAGCTTACTTAACCTCAACCTATTGTCATTGTTTTATCAATATAATGCACTCAGACCAACAAAAAAAGAGCAATATAATTTATCCGGCTTGTATAACATTTTGATTTCATTGATTATGTTATGCAAAATACTTACATCGAAATGTTCATCACAAAATTATTCTTGTATTTGTTGATAAACAATGAATAGGTACCATCCCTCCTTGCAAGTTCTAACCATTTTTTCCGCATTTGTGGCATATAAATAATTTGTCTGGCGTTTTATGCTTCTCCTTTTATACTAGGACACTATACAGTACTTGTAATACGATGGATTCATTTTTAACTAAATAATTTTAATAGTCGGCGTACAGCGTAATGTTTGCTTTGCACGGCGTGACGTCATTCTAGACGCCATGACAGTCTAGAGCGTTTTCGAGGGAAATTTGAATAAGTTTTTTAAAATACAAAATACATATTGCTAATGTACTTTTTTATTTAAAATAATATTTTTTTGGGGTTAAATAAACATCATGGTATATTATTAACCACTTTTTAAAATATAGGCAACTAGCCTATTGTCCATGTTTTCTTGAAGCTAGGTAATTTAATGTTGAGTTCTATTATGTGTTCTTTTAGGTGCTTTTTAACTATGAATCCGACCCCTCCTTGACCTTCGATGTCTCCTTTGTTGAATAACCTCTCCGGCGGCCACGAAGTCCTGGTGCTCTTCAATACATTCTCCTGTTCTTCTCATTTCACTAATTCCTAAAATATCCCATTTCAGGTCCTCAAGTTCTGATAAAAATTCTGGTGTTCGTAAGGTTCTGGTGTTTGGAGTTGCTATGTATAACTTGTTTTTATTCCCTTTGTTTTTTATTCTTGTTAGAGGGTGATGGTCTAAGTCTTCCGCGGGGACCAGCCGTGGTGGAAGACATTTTGTTGATTGTTTGAGTGTATAGTTAATTATTGGTGTATTTATCATTTGATTCCGGTGATCCGGGGGCATATTTAGTTTTTTGTGAGATGTATTTGTGAATCAGAGCTTGCTCTTTCTATATAGTTTAGTATGTTGGGTCTTATGATTTCTCTAGCATGTGTTTTGGGTAGTGTGGGTGGTGGGTTGTTCAGTGTTGCTTTCTTATAAGTTTTCTTTTCTAATGGTGCCTTTGGTGAGTCGGAAGTTTCTCTTTTCTCTTCTCTCGATTTTCTTTTGGCTTCTTTACGATGAGCTTGTCGTATTTTATATAGGCGATATTTCCTTTCTTTATTTCTTCTTCTACTTGTGGCTGTAATTGTTTGCGTTTGTCTAGGATTTCTTTGGGGTAGTCCTCTTTTATATTAACGTCTTTGTGGAAGGTTAGTCTTATTTTTCCGTATGAGATGTTTTTTCCATTGAGTTGTAATGGTTGCTACCACTGGACGATTTTTATTTTCAGTTTTCTGCCCAACCCTATATACTTTGCTAATTTCTTGGTTATCCATATGAACACCCATGCTCACAATTATTTCTTTGATAAAAACCCCTAATTCCGTTTCGAATTTAATATTTTCATTGATTCCAAAAAAAACAAGATTATTTATTCTCTTTTTTGACACTGCTTTTTTAAGTTTAAATTCAAGATCTGAAATTTTGTCCTTGAGTTTAGCATTTTCTCCATGATAGTTTTCATTTTCTCGT